GCCTGCAGGAAGGAAGGCAGACCTGCCCCTTGGAGCCTAAAGGGGCTGCGTGGAGGTCCGCACCGGCCGGGCCTGACCACGGGATCCGGGAGGCCTGAGCCTGTGGACGTGGCCGACAGCCTGTGGGAGTGTAATCGTCCCACATGGGACAGTTAGAAGAGTTAGAAATGAGTCCTGGGGACTCCCAGGGCCCACAGCCAAGTCTCGATAGTCCCCTCGCTCCTCCTCCTTCTCTGTTCCCTGGCCACTGGCTCCTGCCTCCTCCATCATGATGTTCTAGTGGCCGCAGGCCCATAGCAACCGGGTCAAGTGACCCTGGATTGAAACCATGAGTCAAGATAAGACTTTCCTCTTTTGAAGTTGTTTATCTCAGGTGTTTTCCACAAGCATAGAAAGCTGACTAACATGGAGGCATTGGGCAGAAGCGTAGGGTGAACCTCAGTTGGAACCTAGTCCACCTGCGCCATCCCTCCCATGTTCCTGGAGTATTTTGACACCACCGACGCCTTTCAAGATAAACTGTATGAAAGTGTTATCATTTTGTCACCTATGACCCAATTTATCCTATAGATTTTTTTGTAGCCCATACAGCTTACAACATACAATCCTTTAAATTATACAGCAATATATAAACATCAAGAAATATATATATATATATATAATAAATAATATATGATAAATGTTATATATCTATCTCCAGGATCAAAGACTTACGAATGTTTTCACCTTAAATAAGTAATAAATTTGGGAGGAAATACATATGTTTAGTCTGATTACACAATAATACAGGTAGATTGAAACCACACGGACCTAATTGTTTGTACAATTTTTGTATATTTATGAATGAGCTAAAATAGATTTAATTAAGAATGGGATTAAAAACAAATATAACAATATAACTAGACTTGTGATTTCTTTAAAAATTCACAATGCTTAATTTTTTAATTTATTTATAATGGATAAAAAGTCACAGATCATGACTGATCAGTCTAACGGTGTGTCCAGGACTGTGGTCCTCCTCACCTGTTGGTTCCTGTCGGCCAGCGGCAGTTTTATCCATCATGTTGGAGGCGAGGGACTCTCTGGGTGAGAAAGGATGGTTACTTTGCTCTTCCCCAGGAGCCAAGTTCTGTGACTATGTAACAGTGAAATTTGGGGCAGACTGAGACCTTTCCAGTTCAGTTTTAGTGATGGGGAGTTTCCATTCGTTTTTATCCTTCTACCAGGGTCTCTGTTCCATGATCATGATGTCTAATTCTAGTAAAAAAAAATAAAAATGAGAAGAGAACAATCCCATTATTGGCAACCCAATCTGTTGCCTGGGGCTGCAGGAAGCTGGGGTCCTGGGGTGAGGGAAGGGGTTTTCTGTCCTGCTTCCCTACCCACTGAGTGCCCCCAGGTTAGCACAGGTGGCGAGCAGAGGCATCCAGGGCCGGCCACAGTTGTGTGCTGAGACGTCCTAGGACTTGGTCTCCTCCTCTGAGAAGGCTAGACACGCACGCGGCCAGCCCACTGGACAGCAGCTCAGTTGTGAGTTCTGCAGGGACTTCCCAGGACCAGGAGTGCTCACTTCAGCTTCGCCACCAGCCAGGGGGCTCAGGCCGGCCCTGGGCCGTGGGTGCCCATGCTTGTGCCGAGGTCCTCCTTCTTTCGGATGCAAGCGTTTTACCTGGTGGGTCTAGGGTCAGTCCGAACTCCCTCCCCCTGGCTCGGGTCTGGTCCTGGTTCACTGCAGGACCCACATGGGAGTCAGGCTCCAGGGACACGTGGTCCATCTCCCTAGTGGCTTCCTGGCAAGCCCCTAAGGCGAGTTCCTCCAGGATGCACTCATCTCGGAGGCTCCGTGGCACCCAGGGGGGCAGCTTTCTATATAACCGCCTCCTGTCTCCATTCCTGCCCCTGCCTGTCCTCAGAGAGCCAGGGCTGAGGATGCACAAGGCGGGCTTCGGGAGCCCCTTTGGAGGTCTGCCTGGAAAGTTCCACACCGCAGGGTGGAGGCAGCAAACAGGAGGTACCTGCTGTCCTCACCCGCAGCTATCCAGGGAGACAGCCATGGACACAGGCTCCGGAGACGTTTTGTTTTGAAATCTTACTCTCAAGGTAAGCTTCCTATCGTCCTCCTCAGCTGGGTGTCACCCACAGGTTTGACGGGCACTTCCTGTGTCATGAGCACCTTTGCTGTGACAATAACAAGGCCTGATCAGGATGACGTCAGTGCCAGGGCACCTGCTTCTGAGCGGGCAGGACCTGTTAATCACAGTGCTCCTGTGTGACCGCCGTGGCAGAGCTGCCCTGGGGTGCCCTCCTGTTCACTCTGCTCACAGCAATGAGTGGTTTTCTTCAAATGCTTCGAGGAAATCCAAATATAAGTCTATTTTTTAAAAGGAGTTAATTCAAAAGAATATATGAGAAATCCAGCAAGAAAATAAGTTTTGTTGTTGTTTTTTAACTTGAGATTTCTTGGCATGAGTTGCTGACTGAGGTACTAGAAATTAAAAAGCTAAATTTGAAGATCATTAGGAAATTAGCAGTGTGGATAAAAGGCAAATTACAAAGTGGGAAGAATACTTAAAATATGACAGCAAATGATTAATGCTTTTATTATTTGAAAATCCTCAGGAAATTAGTGAGAAAAAGACAATGGCTCCGTTAAAATTGGCAAAACACCTAAGTGATTCACAGATCACCATTATGAAGTCCAACTTGTAATCAACCTCAGAAATTCAAGTACAAACAAAACAAGGAGCCGTGTCCATCTTTGAAGTTGGCGATGGTAAAGGGGGAAACGCAGTGTTGGCACAGACACCCTCTGCCGCAAAGCTGCCAAATCAGAAAAAGAAAGGTCAGAGATCTCACCTGGGCAGCGTGAGTGACGGCGCTCAGAACACGCCGACCTCTGACCCCTCAGGCTCCTGCTAGAAACGCAGAACTTGGGCTCCCTCTGTCCTCCCCTTTAACAGAACGTGGTGACCCCGATTGACAACCCAGGACGCACCCATCTTTCCTTCTGCCACGCTCTCTGCAGGCCAGGCCAGCAGAGTCTGCAGAACAGGGCAGCCCTGAGCGGGAGGGTCAGCAGGGGTGCAGGCTTCGCTTCCCGCTGCTCAGACTAAGGACTGTGACCATGCCCTGCTGGCTCCCAGAGGTGCTGGTAGGAGTGCTGCTGTGTGGGTGTGGAATGTCCCCAAGGCAGGTGTTAGAGCTTAGTCACCGGCCTGGTGCTATCTGCAGGTGGTGGAGCCTTGACACATGGTTACGGGGACATCTTCTGGTCTCTGGGGGGCATCTGCTTAAGAGGATTGTGGGAACCTAGCACTTCTGTCTCTCTTTGCCTCCCATCTTCCCTTTGCTCCAACAGATGCTCCTGCCATGATGTGTTGCTTTGTCCCAGGCCCAGAAGCAATGGGCCAACCAACCATGGATTTAAACTGCCAAAACCAAGCCAAAATAAACCTTTCTTCTCTTTAAGCTGATTTTGTCAGCTGTTTTGTTATAGTCACAGAAAGATGTGGATACATGTATGGATATCACCTAGAACAGGTATGGGCTCCTGCCATCACAGAAAACAAACATTTGTTGGTTTAAAACATTGACATTTCTGGGATGTTTATAACTCAGAAGAAGCTAGAAAATTGCTACTGAAACATGAAATTGAAGAGATAAATCAGTGTTTCTCCTGCTCCTGATGCTCATTATTGCTTAGGGTAGAACCTTGCACAGAAACTGACTCAAGTCCTCCTACAAATTTTGACTAAGATAAGATACCAGATACCTATACATACATGAAATCCTGAGATTTGTTGTGGTTTGCTTTGCAAAAATGAACTAGACTACACAAAATAATTTTGCATCACTATTCTCTCCTTAATCGTTTTAATGGAGATTTATCCTTGTAAGCTTTATTATATAAATGCATCTCTGTTTCTTTATATAAACATATACAAGTCTACATATAAAAACATATATATATATTATAAAGATATATAAATTTTTACATATAAAGAAATTTATATATTTTTATATAAATTTATTAATTTGTATGAAAGTATACAAATACATTTATGTAGTTTTATATATAAAGATATATCTTAAAAGATCTATCTATATACATATAGATGGATAAATCTATTTATATCTCCATGTTGTTTATTCTTTAACCTCCTCAAATAAAACCGTGAGGAACCTCCCTGTGTCCTATACTTTGATTTCCATGGGTTAAGCTGAGCAGTGGGAAATCATTGTCAAAACATATATACATGTTTTCCCTCCTAATTCTATCAGAGGTTGCAGGTTATTTCTTGAGAATGGTCACACTGTTTCCCACTTTCATCAGTAATGTCTGAAACTATCCTGCACCACATGTCCACTGGAGACAGAGCACTCAGTGCTTCCATCCGAGAGGGGGTGACATGCTCCCGTAACTCCGAGTCCCATTGGTCTGACCGCTGGTGGTGGGGTCTGTCCTGGGTTTCATGGCCTCTGTGCTGCACTTCTGTTGCTCATTATGTTGAGGTTTCTCTTCATTATTTGTCCTCTTTTTGCAAATTCGTAGTGACTATTTTATATCATAACCACATATTGCCACCTGCATTGTGTCTATTTGCATTTTGCTATATAAAGGTTTGCTATATAAAGGTTTCGGTACTTCAATATGCCAATTTTTCTTTTGATTGTGTGGACATCCAGCCTGGGTTAAAAGAGAGTGTGTTGACCCCCTTTGTCCTGGTGCACCTTCTGTAGCCACCACCTCTGGTGAGTTCTCCTTCCACCGTGCATCACCTCTAATGCACCCAGTGTGTCTTGGTGTATGACCTAGGACACGTGTGAATGTGCAGCCCCTGTGCTGTCCTCCAGAGAAGCAGCTGCGGCTGCTCCGTTCATTAAGTGATCCATTGACTTTTTATGGAATTATGCTAATGCCTGTGTCTATGTACTGACACCCACTTCTGCTGCACTGATTTATCGCTCCAATTTCATGTTTCATGTAACAGTTGGCTAGCTTACTCTGAGTTATAAACACCCCAGAATGTCAGTGTTTTAAACCAACAAATGTTTGTTGCTCATTCTGCAAGTCTGATGCAGCTATTTTGAGATGCCTGGGGAAAGAGAGCGTCTATTCAGATACCATCCTCGCATCTTGCAGCAGGGAAGGAGGAATGGGGAGCCGCTCCCTCCTCCGTCTGCCTGGAGATACCCCGGATGTTCATGTTTGTACTTCACTGGCCAGAGACGGTCACGTGGTCACAGTCCTTCATGGTGGTGGGAATGTTCTGAAGACGCAGGATAATGTGGCCGACCATGTGATCACTCCTAAGTTCAACACCACACTGCTTGGACCCGGACCTGTGACGCTGTGGATGGGTGTGTGCCAGCAGACCAACCTCCTGGATGTCAGTCTTCAAATTCCACACATACTTCAGGTTTTACCATTGATATCTCTCTGGAAATCCAAACAGACTATTTTGTCCTCTCTTTTCCTTTCATCTCTTTCCTTATTGTTTCACATTTCCACCTCTTTATCCTCTGTGCTTCATGACAGATCATTTTTTTTGGTTATTTTCCTGTTCACTATTTTTTTTCCCTGCTATGTCTATTATTTCAATCATAACCCTTAAAACTTTTATTTCATTTAAGGATTTTTCATTTGCAAACATTCTAGTCTACTAAGGCATTTTGTAATAGCTACTCCTGTTAATATTATTTGTAGTGATATTAATAGTATTTTAATACTATTATTTTATAATAAGTATTACATTTTTAAATTAAAAAAATGTCTATCTCTTTAACCAGTGTAACATAGTTCCTGTAACATATGTGTGTGATAATGATAGTGACCACATGGAGTGATCTTTAATCTGTTTTTAAGTTTTTCCCTTATTTTTCACATCTTGATTCCTTGTCTGATTTATATTTTGTTATTAGGTGTTTTCTTGAGATATTACTTGCAGAGATTACTCAAGGCAGATGATGAATGTGCTGTCCTACGGCAGCATTTTGATTTGTCTTTCCCTAGTGCCTGGGGCATCTTGAATGGGGATCACTTTAAATTAAATCTATGCCTTTGGTATTTTGAACCCATATTTGAAAACCAGGAGCCAAGTGTACAGGGCAGTAGCACAACCAAGAAGCTGGAGAAGGCGGAGAGGGGACAGAGATTAACCCTCACAGAGAGGCCAGAAAAACAGGAGGTCAGGGGGCTTCAGGGACTGGAAGGGGAATTGGCTGGGCCATCATCCCTCAGGTCACAGTTGGACACTTACCTAGATGGATAAGTGGACTCACACACACACACACACACACACACACACACACACACAGTGCACACACATACTATCTGAGTGTACTAAGAAGCTGATGAAGAGCTTACTTTTGAAAATTATAACTTTAATAAGGAAGAAGTACCATTCTTTAGTCTTGTGTCCGAGAGCTCCCGGCATTCCATGGCTAAGAGGTGAAAACCCTGGTCTTTATCGGCTGAGGTGACAAGACGGAGTTCAGAGCTGGAACAACAGGCAGAACTTGAAGGGGTAAGTCTTAGAAGTGGAAGACCAGGGGGCCTGATGGCACCCAAAGTGTGCACACAGACTCTACTCGTGGACTTTGCTGGTGACACCTCACTGTGGGTGCCCCGGGAGGACCCCAGGTCCCAGATGCAGAAGCCACTTCTAGAGGTTCTCAGAGTGGAGTGGAGGTGCCCTGATGCTCACCATGAGAGAGATCTTCCATTAACCCCAGCAAATTAACTGCATGTAGAACAACAACAACAACAAAATGCTCAGAATAATGTATGTGAGTTCAGAGTTGCAGTATTTTATTTAAATACACAGTGTCAAGTGAAAATTACTGCATATCCAAAGAGCAGGAAGTGTCCCCCTTCTTACAGTAAAAGGCACTGAGTGGCATCTGCAGATGTTGATTTGGTAGAATACAGTCATCTATGTCGCTCTTGTGAATATGGTCAAAGAATAAAGCACTTGCAGGAGGGACCAGGAGGAGCATTTTAATAGAGAAGTGGAGGCCTGGAAGAGGAAATCTGTGGAACATTGTACAATAGTTTAAATGAAGTTCCACTAAACTCACTCAGCAGAAGACGGAGATGATGGCAGGAAGACAGAACTTAAAGAGAGATTGACAGGCATCACCCCATCTCAAAAAGAGAGGAGACACAAAGAGAAATGGGTCTCCGAGCCTGTGTCACTGAGTCCATGTGTTGACATGAATGTCCCTGGAGTTTCAGGAAGAGAAGGGGCAGAAATACGCGTGAAGAAATGATGACTACAGCTTTCCCCAGATGCGGTGAGAACCATCAACAGAGACCCATGAAACCTGGCCAACCCCAGCAGGAAAAACAGAAGAGCTCACGTAGGCACGCCACAGCCTGACCCTCAACGCCAGAGCCAGAGGAGACTGTGGAACCAGGGGAATGGCATAAAGAGAAGCAAAGGTAAGACCACTCCTTGTTTTAGCCAGCTTTGTGGCTGCTGAGACGGGAAGACCTGCAGGAACAACTGACCAGGAGGAGAAGCTCATCTGGGCCCTCACCGGTTCAGAGGCCTCAGTCCACAGACAGCAGGCTCCATCCCTCAGGGTCAGGGTGAGGCAGGACATCATGGCAGGAGAGAGTGGCAGAGGGAAGCAGCTCACATGACGATCAGGACAGAGAGAGAGAGAGAGACAGAGAGAGAGAGAGACTCCACCTGCCAGATACAAAGCATGGACCCCAAATGTGTGGCCCCCGGGACCCACCTCCGCCAACCACACCCTGCCTGCCTTCAGTTACCACTGAGTTAATCCGTGAGGGGATTCAGTCATTGATGGGCTCTCACAACCCAGACGTTTCTCCTCTAAATCTCCTTGCATTGTCTCACATGTGAGCTTTTGGGGGAGCCCTAATATCTAAACATAACACTCCTGAATTGTTTTGAGAAAAAGTGGAAGCTCAGAAATGCTGGAACAGGGTATTCAAACCGTTGAAAAAGCAAAAACAAAATTCTCCCAATTATCAACTCTATCTGTATCTAAACTCTCTTTTGAAATGATGTGCAAAATGTGCTCTCTGGTATCAGATAAACATAAATCAGCAGTATCTGTCTGCAGCAGACTTGGTCTGTAAGAAGTGTTGAATGATGTTCTGTAAGCTTATCCAAGATTGTAGATCAGACCTTTGAGAAGAAACAGAGAGCAAATGGAGGGGTGAATACAGGAGCAAACTCAGCAACTTGGTACACACACACACACACACACACACACACACACACACACTCACACACACACACACATTGTGTGAGGGTTAATTGCAGAAGGCAGGAATTGGCCTGTCTTTGATTTGCACAGCCCTGGAGGCAAGGGCTTGGGAGTAGTGTGTGAGAAGGAGCTGATGCTGTCCGGGGATCCAGGTGATCCCAGGGGGCTCTGCCATTGTGGCTGGTTGTATGGAAACACTGTGCCCTTGTGACTAGCAGGGTCTGATGGCTTAAAGAGTCCTGTCCATTGGTTTGTTGAGGTCCATTCCCCAGCATATCAAAATGTGACTCTGTCTTGGGACAGGCCCTTCAAGAGGTGTATAATCTGAAATGAAATCACCAGAGAGGCTCCAAACTACTCTGTGTTTCTCGAAAAGACCTAGAAGGCACTACTCAGGGTTTCATCATCAGGATGAGTTTGAGTCCCGTCTCCAGCTATGATGAGGGTTTCCAGCGCTTATCTGAGGGGTAGAAACCCACAGAGCTTGTTTTGTCCTCTCTGCAAGGACTTTGGGGAGCCTGGCCTCATTCCGTCTGGCTGCACTGTGGCTCTCTGCTCAGGAGAGGGCTGCCCAGCTCCTGTCCTGCAGAGCTATTCCCCCTCCTGGCAATCCAGAGCCACACAGTTGAAATCTCATTTGCATGCTTCGTTCTTTCGGACACAAATCCATCTTGAAATTGTGATTAAAATAGATTCGTGAAAAATTCAAAACGCGGCAAAGGAACTCTCAGCATTACAATATAAGAAATTACTTAGACTCTTGTGACTCTTCAAAGTGTATGAGAAACATCAACTTTTTGTTTTATTTTGATCATAAGTGAAAAATTATGAATGAAAGAGCAATGGAAAAGCATTTTAGAAGTCAAGAAGACAACCTCAAAGGATGGCAAATCTGGCGGGGGGGTGGGGGGTGGGAATTGGAGGAGTAATTCCATGAGCTGGTAAGGAACTGCCGGAGGCCACTCACGCAGGAAAAAGTGCTCGGTGGAGCCGGTTCCAATGCCAGGACCTCTAAATTGTGGATTTAACAAAACCCACAAATAACAAATACATTGAAAGAAACCAAATGATATTTTTCGTCTTAGGATTAATGAAATGTATTTAAATAACAGATAAATATTAGCTAGTGTTTAACATTGGTAGTTAATTGCATTATTCGAGAAAAGTATAGAAGAAATGTGTGTTATGCTTCTTGTAACATGCTGAAACAACACAAGGCATTTTAGGTAGAGCATCAAATATTACAAGAAAATATAATATAAAAATATAAACCTCGAGAGGCTGTGACTTTTTCTTTTGTTCAAATGTTGATTTGCATCATTGTGGCTGTTGAAGCCTCTTTTAGAAATAGCATGCTACATATGGACTCATAGGACAGAAAGGAAAAAACATCAACAATGTTGCTTGTAAGACAGTTTTCATGCCAAGATGACATGAATGTGCAAAGAATTTCAGTAGGTGTAATACACGTCCATTTAAATAAATGGTATTGATTTCGACTTACTGTAATCTGAAAGCCCAAGGATCATCGACATTCTCTCTATTGGCTTTTTTTTTTTTCTCAAAATCTGTTCTAGGAGATAGCAATTTGTTATGACAACCTGTTCTATTCATCAGGACTAGAAAGAATCAGACATTTGTCAATATGCATTCTGAGCAGCGTACTTCTGGTGCAAGTGGCATACTGTGGATGGAAATTAGTCTGCAAAATCAGCTACTTGATTTTGATTGTACACTAAGTACAAGGCAGCATTTGCACCTATTTTATAGAAATCACAAAGTGCAAGGAGGAATTTGCTCTTTACTGTATGCGTGCTTACTCTGCATCCATTTCCTTGAATCCATTATATGCTGGGCTGTACTTTGGGAGGCATAAAATGTAAATAGCAATAAAGTGCATGCACATAAATCCAAACAATCCTACCTTAATGATAATGAGTTGCTGTATTTTACTGGATACAAGTTGTATGAGTCAAAATAGTCGACCTTTATTCTGTAACAACAAACAATGAATTAAACACAAAGCCAGTGTGTTCTCACAGAGATAGTCTTTTGTCTACCTGTGGGAGTCCTCAGACTGTCCCCCTGGGTAGCTGGCTCTTCTCGGCTGTCTCCATCCAGACTTACTGGTGGGCACCTTTGCACCAGTTAGTTGTATCCCTGAACCTTAGGAATA